GCTTATAACTGCCGCAAAAAAGCAAGGATTTTAACGATTTTTTTTTAAATTGCAGATATTGATCTACTGAATCGATCTAGTGAACTAAACATCAGTAATTGTTTATTAATAATTAATTATTATTTATAAACAAAAAATTTTTTTTCAAATTGATTTTTTTCAAATTGCCACATCTTTTTTTTCTCTCAAACTTTTTTGTCTATAAGGGAATAGTATAAACTATTTTCAGTACGAGTAGCAATATGCTTAAATTCGTCGTTTTCGAGTTATGATTTTTTTTCTGAAAATGCACTTATATCATGCTAGCAGATTTTCGTGCCAGTTGAGGACGCAAAAATTGTTGCCCATTAGTACTCATTTACACACGGCGATTTTTGTTGCCGCAACTCGACGTTCGTTGGAGAGAGCGTGACGAGGAAAGGAGAGGGGCACCGAGTTGCTCGTGTTCGGGCAACACGCTTTGTGCTCTCGTTCGTCTGTGTAAATTGAAAAGCTGTTCACAGCTGACAACAACAATTGCATACACACAAATCGCCGTGTGTAAATGAAACGAGCAACACCAAAAGGGAATGTGAAAAATTGCGGCGACAAAAGTTTTCGTGTATAAACGCAGTCTTATGATAAAGTTTCCTTGCTGGAAATTTTTTCAGGTTGCCCGATCAGAGCCAAAAGTTTTTCCCAATTGGGCTCTAATTTTGGCCCAATTGGGGCCCAATTAGCGATTTGCCCAATCTACCGAAGATTTCCCCAACCAGTGCTCACAATTTGCTCAAAGTGAACATGCATACGCAATTAAAACGTTTTTATCGATAAAATCACACATACACACATCAAAATTCCCTACCAAAAAAAATAGTTTTTAATTTTTCTCTTGAAAAATTTTCCACATACAAATTTTTTGATAAAAAAAATTAGTTTTTGTAAATATGCCATTTCAAAAAAAAATTGGAAAAAATCACATTGGTAGGTCTGAGTATTGCGCAATATTTAAGTATAATGTTATGGGGTGCACCATGATAAAAATATAGTAAGGTAGAACCGCTGAGAGTCACTTTTAAGATTCTTGACGTTTCCAAACAATTTAATTTTTAAATTTACTCACAAACTCACACACACATTTTCATTTTCAATCTCAAGCAACAACAATTTCTAACAATTTCCATTTTTTACTTTCACTTTTATATGATTTTAAAATGTTGGCAAACTTCAAAAAAAAATCATGGCCGACAAATTGAGAGAACGGTTATACCTTGCTATGTTTTTATCATGGGGTGCACTCTACAATAATTTGAGTTAAGAATTTTTTTTTTACACCGAAGTTGAGTAAAATGAGTACTTAAATTTTCATTCATTTTCGTATCCGGAAAACGTTCCAAAATGATGATGTTATTTGAAAGCAATAATTGTATTTTATTTGTTCAGGCTGCTAGTATCTGATAGCTTTCAGAAGGTGTGTCGGGTGCGAATGCCCTCAGGCGCTGCTTTATTTCATTTTTTTTTTTTTTGAACATCTGTGAAGTGCAGAAGGAAAGCTTATTGAACAAAAAATTTAAATTTCAGAAAAACAGTCAAAAACGTATACGTTTCGAAACAATTTTTGGTGCTTGTCTGTAAAACGCCAAAGTATTCGAAAATGGAATCGCTAAATGGATAAAAATCCGCATTTTATCAACTTTTTTTTGCTTTTTTCGAATATATTTTCGGGTTTTTTGCTAGCTGGGTTAATCCCTAACCGCGAAAAAAACGTAAGTGACAAAAAAATAATAACAATAAAAAATTCGGTTAATTTTTTTGGCGGTTAGCGAACAATAAGTAAAAAAATAAGTACAAATTTTTATTGGGAGCTGGAGCGGAGTGATGAAGAAACCCCTTTGCTCCGAAGCCCTGGTTTTCCGGGTAAATTTTTTTACACGCTTTGTTTGTGTTAGTTTCGACAAGAAGCATATAAAAAATTATCACATTCAGATAATTCTGTTTTGATCAAATGATTAGCTCCTACGCTTTCAAAATTTTACAAAATAAATGTTACTAAATTCATTATAAATTTCATTTAATTTTGCAGTTCTACCGATTTTTAGCATGGTTCCTATTGGCCCGGGCAGCTGTACGGCTTCATCTGGGGAGCATGGCACCTGTATACCAAGCAAGGATTGCGTGCTGCGCGCAGGAATACCAGCAGGACCTTGCGCCGGTGGCTATGGGCTGTGCTGTGTTTGTAAATAAGAAATTTATTAACAATAAAAGCAAAATTCTTATTTCAAGCATAAAATATGTTTCCTATGATTTTAGTTCTACAAACATGCGGCGGCATTATACGTCAGAACTCCACCTACTTTGTCAATCCAAATCATCCGGATGTGTATGATGGCACTGGAAGCTGTCAGGTGACAGTGCAAAAGATACATCCAGATGTTTGCCAGCTGAGGTTGGTAGTGATTTTAAAACGAAAATTCATTCTCTTAAGCTTTGTCTTCCTTCCAGACTCGATTTGGATATGTTCTCCGTTGCGCCACCCGAGTCCCTGAATCACGTCTGCAATCAGGATCAACTGCTCATCTCTGGCGGCAGTCCAATTCCCACAATTTGTGGCTCTTCAGCTGGCGACCATAGTAAGTTTTAAACCTTTATGCGTTTAGAATCAATAAAAACAAAATGATACTTTTTCGTAGTGTATATAGACGCAGGGCTGGGACAGAGTAACGCCATCGTGCTCTCCGTCATTACGAGTGGCACATTTTCGCGGCTCTGGCGCATTCGTGTGACCCAAATCCATTGCGGTAGTTTGAGTCGCGCCGATCATGGCTGCTTGCAATACTTCACCGGCATTAGTGGGCGTGTGCGCAGTTTCAACTTCAACACCGTAACTGGGCGACAGCTCTCCAATCAGGACTACAGTATTTGCATACGCGCAGAGCGCAACTTTTGCAGCATACAATACAACGCTTGTCCCGATACTGGTGAGTGCGCGCCTCTGAAATGGAGTTGCTCGTTAAGACAGAAGCTTTTATTTTCTCCCACCCCCCTTTAAGAGAACAATCGCTCGCGTTCATTCACCATCTCCGGCAACTCGAACAATCCCACCGGCTCCATGGTGGGCGGTGGCACGCAAGTGACACAGAATACCTGCATCAACGATTGGCTGTTGATCGGTTGTATGCGCTCGGTGGATCGCATACCGCAGTTGGCCGCTTGTGAAGATCGCGTGTGTGGTGGCACCTTTAGCGCCGAAGTGGGCACCATTCAACGAACTGTGCAATGTAAGTGAGCTGCTGCGGAGTGGTCTTTTGGATTGGATTGTGATTAAGTACTTTCATTTACTTTAATTTAGCGAGCGTGCGTCCATTTCGTTTGTATTTCCATACGGATGGGGTAGAGGCGCCAACGGATGTGGACAATCGGGGCTTTTGTTTGGATTTCGTGCAGCAGCCGTGCACAAATGGGTTTTAGGGTTTAGTTTGGGGAATGTTTGTGTTATTTGTATCCTACGTATTTAAGTTGTTTTGTATTGCTGAATAAATTTAAGAAAAATATTTCATGTAATGAAGAGCTAGTGAGGGCATATAAGGGATAGTGCGAATATGTGCGGTTAAGCTAAGAAAACTAAAACGTGGTAAGAAAAGCTTATTCGTCGTTTTTGATTTGACATGTTCTTGATTTCGTTTCGTGAATTAAAGTATTAAATTTAGGAACGAAATGGCTGTTGACCTTAACACGCCAATGAAAGGCTCATTATCCATTTTTACCAGCTTTACCTATAGCTAGTGAAGAAGTATACTCACTCTCCTGGACTCCTCATTTTTGATTATCTCGCAAAGTTGTTTTTCAGAAGCAGGACCAAAGTCTATTCCTCGGTATCAGTCCATGAACCAGCAGGTTTCGGTAAACATCATCCGGATTTTTAATGCTGTACTTGAGAACATTCGTTCTGAGACTGGTTCCTGATGTGTTACACTGCAATCTACTATACCACTTTTTCAATTTCACCATAGGCATTTGCTTGTGGGACACGCAATGTATCTACCTCATTGCCAGATGCAATGAAAAAGTGAAAGCTCATTATCCATCGTACAATTCCAGGCTAGTGCTTACCAATATTCAGAACAAAGGAAATGTCCAAAATTTCCCATCGACTTTTCTTACTAAATATGGTGGCCCTTTTTTTAGCATTTTACGTTTCATGGATGGCAGTCTAAGTGGTCGCCCGTTTAGCTCCAGACTAGTCGTTTTTGTAACCATATCAGTAAAATTTTTTTTTAATGAAAGAAAAGTACTTAACCCGGGTACTTATGAAGATGCTTATATACGAGCACATGTCCGCTGAGGCATCACTTACCAATAATGTACCATAGCGTCCCACAGTTGTTCTGTCTCGCCACTCAAAGCTCTTGTATGTGGACAATAGTATGAATTTCTTGTAGCATAATTGCAGCTAACAATAAGGAAATCGAAGGAGAGGACAAGTAAAAAGTTATAAAAGGCTTATCCTATCTAACCAGGGCTAGATCGCCGGAATGTCAACTTTTCGTTGGATAAACCCCGAGCCATTCCAATGCGTAAAACCGGCTGTCGTGTTACGGATTGCGGGACGAGATTCGGAACTATGCACGTCAAGGTAGAAGGTATATCTTACAACAATTTTAGGATCGGTTGGTCTACTGGGACCTGGTTTTAAAGTATATGTAAAAACTGTAGGTCCCTTCCCTTTGTGTAACAACATCTAGGCGCACGCCAACAATCGGGGGAGAAGCTCGGCCCAACACTAACATATGTGTAAACGCCAATCTATTCATTATAAGTTGATCCTTTTATAAAAACGAAAACATAAATTTTGGTATTTTAATTCAACAATTTTTTCCGATTTTTATTAAAATTACGGTTTTTTTTAAACTAATTCATCATTAGAATTGCAATTGAAGTACGCTTAATACAAAATAATAAATTAAAAGCACAAACTGCAAACTTTTGTTTTTAAAACTTTTTTCATATAAATATTTTCAATTTTTTTTTTTATATTTTGCTTTATTTGTTTTACGCATTTTTAGTTTTAAGATTTTCACCAAAATTTTCCGATCATGTCCAATATAAATATTATATAATTTCAGTTAATTGAAGCGCGATAACAAGAGAGTGAATACATTACTTAACCAAATCAAAATTGAAACAAAAAAAAACTAAAGAATTTTAATCTAAATCCATCTTTCCATCCTCCAACTAAGTAAGTGAACCCATAAGATTGGGAAATTCGTTAATTTAAAGATAACAACTAACATGCGAGTGTACACAATAAAATAAAGAAAGAAATTAGAATTAATAATTTTACAAAAATAAGAAGAGATGTGAGAAAGTTTATAATCGATAAGGTCTAATAATAAAATATCGTTGTTTGACTACAATACATTTTTATACTTTGTATTAACTAAGTAAAAGAAATAAGCTTTTCGCAAGTATCGTTAACTGCCGTTCCGTTTGCTCCACAAAAGCGCTTTCCAGCTTTCCTCAATTTACACCAAAAGGGATATTCTGAGTAGGCACTTTCGTGTTACGCTATACGTTTACATGCTATGTTATTATCGTTCTATTTGTAAAATTCAACGCTCCACGGGTCAAATATTTCAATATGCAAAATTTCAATTTTTTTTTCATCTATCGCATTCGACGCATTGGTTCCTTTCGTTGATTTACAATTTCTTCTTCTCTGCAAGGCACTTCATTGCTCTCCAATCCGTCACTTTACTTGCTCACTGGTATCGCTTGAGATCGTCCAAAATAAAATCAATAAGGAAAATCATCTAGGTATAAAATCGTGTGTTTTTTCCAACTTCTCTTTCACGCTTCTCAGTCTGTTTCATAGTGTTTCTTTCTATGACGCTACATACAGTCTGTCGACGACTACATAGGACTACTTAAAACGCTAATAGGTTTTTATTAAAGCCGCAACGTGTTGTTTCTCCTCCTCCGTTAGGCCGTTTTTAAGCGTTCGACGCACTAAAACGAAAGTAATAATCGAAATTAGCTGAGGAACTAGAAATTCATTTGTATGGGGGTAGCAGTGTTAATTTAAGGCAAATGGCTCAGTTAGGATATGAACACACAGGTGCAGTTAAATGATACAACCAAATATTACGAGCATCGATTTTTTTATTGAACAAGATATCCATATTATCTCCATGCACCGATTTTTGTTAGCTAATAATCCATGCGATGATGATAGCTTTAGCATAGTCAGTGCCGTGACCGACTTTTTGTAGATTGAAACTTTTCTACCTTGGTAGTGTTTTTTTTTTTTAAGCATGTCACAATGTAAGTCAAAGTTTCAGCAAGGATCTACCGGTAATTTAGATATTTGCTGTCAAGTTTCCTAAGCCCCCTATCTAGATGTAAGTACGAATTTCTGCTTCGTACTACACCGAAAGCCATTATGGTTATGTCACATGACCTAATAGTTATTCTGGTTGTAGGAAAGTTTACCTCAATAGTTAGTGAGATATTGTAATCAATCTAGCAAGGTGAGTAGAAAAGGAGGCTCGAGGGTTTAATCCCTCCAAAACTGAACTATGTAGTTCTGTTCACATTATTAAAATATTCAATTGTCAAGTGAACCGAAACTTCGCGCGGAAGTAATTGATACCAATCTTCACATATAAGCCCAAGATGGACCTAGGAACAGGATGTGGCGCCTTCTCGTAGAAACTGTCTTCGACAGAGGCCTATAGACAGCCAGGTTACTGAAGCGTATTGCAGGCTGAGATATATAGGCGAGGGATATTTCCAAAGATCTGGGAATTGTACTATAATTAAATTACGCAGAACTTATAGGCAATTATTGGTGCCAGCATGTTTGTGCTCCATATTGTTTAGTCTGTTTAAAGTGTTCGGCTGACATAGACGCGTTTTCATAGTACTGTTTTTGTAACCATGGAAGACGTCGCAAAAACTCAAAGAGCAACAATTTTATTTTTGTGGAAAGGTGTGAAAACATCAAATTATTAGAAATTATTCCGCGGACCACTGCGACAGGCACTACTCAAAATACGGCCTGGAAAGTTGCATAAGCATCCGTTATTGCAACAGGATAATGCAAGACCATACACCGGAAAAAAACGGGGGATGTTTTGTACGATGTACGATGGAATTGCTTCGGCACCCACCTTATTCCGCACAGATCTTACACCCACGGATTACCACCTGTTCCCTGTGATTTGAAAGAACACTTCCGGGGTTTGAAAGTTTAACTGAGTTTAAACGTGCCATAAATAGGTACATTGAGGGGACACCGAAAAAGTTCTTCGAGGGAGTTTATCCTAGGGATAAATGTATTCAGTTAAATGGAGATTATGTTGAAAAACTATATTGTAATATTGACGAAATTTAATGAAATAATAAAAATTACAGCTAAATAGATTCCTAGAACTTTGGAAACATTCCCCGTGCATATGCACTTGACACGGCGGTGAGGCTGGTGCGCATGTTCGACTCAGCTCCATTAAAACTAACCATTGCTATGACAGTTAAACCTCCATCAAAGCCTTTGGGATCCGTCAGAAAAGCATGATGGTTTAAAAACATGTTTGCGCAAGTCCTCAGCTTGGCATCGTAGTGGGCCTGTGCTTTCTCCAAGTGAACTACTTTGACCTAATCACGCTCTGTCAAATTCTCTGATACTCGATAACATCCGAGCGTAGCAATTTCAATACACTTTCAAGTGTATACATAAATATTTTTTCCCCTGAATTGACGTTTTCATGGCAATAAATTAACTTAACACAAATATAAGTGAATATTTGGCTGATTCCTCCTTTTGTTAGGCAAATGTTGTATACCAGGTTTCGAATTGAGTTGTTCTTAAGTTATAAATCAATATTACTTTTGAGTATTGCCACAGAATATCCAAAGGATATACTACGGAAGTATTAAAATTGAGGGGAGATTTACATATACTGTTTTCAAAATCGCCTTCTAACTCCACTTAAAACGTGGATATGACACCCTTAGCAGTGCTGTATTTTCTGAAGAACATGATGTGGGAGTCGTTTTCCTTACTTAAAATTTAACTTTCGGATTGCCTTTTGACTATTCATATTTTCGGTACGTAATTAGTAGATTTGTGGATTCATGCGCAAATGAGGATATTAGTAAATCATTATTTATTGTATGGTGGGCGTTTTGGTCAAACATCTTATTTTTTTATATTTTAATTGCAATACAAATCAATTGCAAAAGCGAACATTAACTTTTTATAAGTTAATGATAAATGATCCATGGGTAGGAACAAATTTTGTTTTAGATAAGTACATATATTAAGTCATTCGGTAGCAGACATGCAGTTCTGTTTAGTTCGGCTGGCAGGGTTCCAAAACAATTAATGATAGTTTAAAAAATTCGCATATAAAAATCAAAAACTTCGCATGCTTTTCAAAAATGGCCAACTTGCCAAGAACTGCCTGCAGTTATTCCACTAACCAATTGGCCAATTTAACGGTATGCAAAGCCAGACGCTTTCTATGGCGATGGTGCGCGTTCAACTGTGAATCCCTCCCGCGTACGCGACCGCTTCACTTCAGCCAACAATGCAAAAGACGCGATTGCGATTGTTTCGGGGTTTAACGAGTTGGCGCAGTGACAGGTGGGATTTATTTTCAAATGAAGAGATTAACAAATAAATGAAGTGAAGGAAAACATTTGATAATTCGCGAGCCAATGAGAGTACCCAATTTGGAGTGGAGATAGTTATTTGTGGACATATGAAATTAATAAAAATAAAAAAAATGTGTAAGTCAGGTTAAATCGTTGAGCTGTAAAAATATATGGTTAATACATTTTTTTACTATAAACTAAAACTATTTTAGCTACCAACACCACTGTTAAAAAAGTTGCACAAAATAGTCCCAAAAAATTGCGCAAAAATCAAAAATTTGAAATGTGGTAAGCCAAAAACCGTTAGCAGCATTGGATCCGAAATTTAGAATTTTGTACGTTCGGTTTTTTTTTCTTTACTGGAAATGATGTATGTGCTTGTGTGTGTATTTAATGCGTGTGGGCTTTGAAGTGAAAACTTGGCTGAAAGTGGCTTTGAATTACTTGCTTGAATGCTCGTTTACACAGCCGATACTCTGGTGAAAAACGAGTTGTGAATTTATTAAAAGAATCCACGCAGCGCTATTGAGCCCTACACCTACATACTTATGTACATTGGTATGTATGTATGTGTGTGTGTGTGCAGCCAACTTACATGATTTGCGATCAGCATGGCGTGTGCGCTTCCGTTCGCGCGGCGTCGTGCGTGTACCTGGCGCTTTGGTCGCAGTCTTTACCAACGATTCCAGGATCTCATCATCACCATCGGTGAAGTTCTCCTCGCTTTGGCGCGCAATGGGCGAGCGCAAGTTCTCGGCGCGTCTGCGACGCCACGTCAATGTGCCATCGGCTGTGTCGGAACTGGGCGTGCCGAGCAACACTCTTAAAGGGAAAAAGTAACAAAGTGACTATTAGGCTTTTAGGACTATTTTTAAATCTAATGCGTATGCGTACTTCAGTTCCGCATCGGCGCGATCTTCTTTGGTTTTGAATTTGGCCATATCTATAATGAGTTTGCCACGCGTCTTATTGCGTTCGCGATGGTTCGCCTTCTTCTCCAGCTGCTGTTGCACGCGCTCACGTGTGGTGCGGTACTCCAGAGCGAACTCCGAAAGAATGCGACAAAATTCGTTTGGCTTCGATTCGGCTACGCTGTGTTGGGGTACGCCCAGCCACAGCAGGAACTTGCGATATCTGCAAGCAAAGGGATTTATAATTGTTTTCCAACTGCAGGAAACTACAGTTTCAAAACTCAACACACCTGTTAATCACACGCCGATGCACGATTTGCAGAATGATAATGCGTTCCGCACAGTCCGCCAAGAAGTCAACCAACTTCTGCTTCAGCTGCGGTGGACAGTCGTGTTTGGCAATCAATTTGAGGCGATCCCACGAAGCCTTGCATTCAGTCTCCAACTGGCTCAAGTTGTGTGCCAAATCGGAAAAGTCAGCCTTAGAGGCGCGCGTGATTGGCCCAATTTCCGAGTATAGATCCGTGGTGTCCGGACTCGACTCCATCACCATGTGGCAGAGATGATGCAGCAACGAATGCTTATGTACGGTGTCTTTGACCTCAGGTACCTGCGGGCAAAAATCAGAGCAAACCGGTAATGACAGCAAGTGCGGATAGGAAAGGCAAGCAAGACACACCTTGGATAAATACTCGATCTGGAAACCCTTAACTGGCGCACCATTCAAAAATATTCCGACCGACAGCAGCGTCGACAGAATGCATTTGAAGGTGCGATTATTTCGTAGAATTTCGATGCCTTGTTTCAGATCCATCAATGGTTCCGCAATTTCTTTCTGTTGAACGAAGCCGATTATTGAGTTTTTTAGCAATTTTTTGTGGCATTCAAAATAACTGTATGCTTTACTTACTTCGCTATTATCGAAATCCAAGCGGAATGCCCACAGCTTTAGCCTCGCGCCCAACTCCGAAATGGTGGCCAAGGTGAGGAGAAATTGCTCGGCGCTGCCCAAAGGCAACTCTGGATTGGCCATCTAAAAGAAAAAGTTTAATTTTAAAACAAACTTACTTATATATACTTACATATACATATACATACATAAATAAAGGAATATTTTTTCCGAATTTTTTTTTTTTTTGTAAGCAAATTTCCTATCCTATCTATTTTTGTAATATTTATCATTACCTGCGCTTCTTGTATCTTGCCGCGTTCCTCATCCGTTGGCAACATATTCAATAGCTTATCGATGCCTTCGCGCGTCACCACCGTTGCATCCATCTTCAGTATTGCCGCTTTAATGGCACGCGGCGGTGGCAACTTTGTCATCGCAATATTTATGGCATTCGAGCGTTTATGATCCAATACGATAATCTCTTTGCTTTTATTCAGTTCTTGTTGTTTCTGCAATGGGTTTGTATATTGTATTAGAAAAATTACAAAAACAAAACTTGCACAGTCTAAGTTGAGATATGAAGGCGAATAGTGGAGTTTAACGACAGTTGGGTGGAACACATAGGCAAGAAATTTTATACATTTGTATGTACTTAAAAATAAATATATGTAGTAAGTTTAAAGGCATGTGCATGAGAGTCTGGAATTTAAAGGAGAATTTTTATCGAACCATTTATGGTACGTGTGTTGAAGCTTTTCACGAAAAAAAATAAAAATGTTATAAGCGAAATGTTGGTATTGTGTTCAAGTAAAATGGGAGAGAAGTCTCTCTGTGTATTACCTTCGATTTGCTCAAAATAATGGCAGTCTAATTATACGGCACTAATCTATGTAGTTGAAATCAAATAAGAGCGCAGCTTTCGATCATAGTATAGAAAAGCGGTGCCCGAACTTATGCGCAGGGTTGCATCTGTTTGAAATTTTACTTAAATCTTACTCCTTTTTCACTGCAATTTTTGTTTTAAAAATTGGGTACGATTTTCAGTCATTATTCACACATATTCAAAATGTGGTTGTATGAAGTAGGCCATCACTGCTACAGATTTACGTCCTACGTCGAGTCAGTGTAGATAGTAAATAGGGACTATTTCCTATAAGGATTTCATTGGAATTTAATTTTAACAAAAGGAATTTAATGTAAATGAAAGCTATAAAAGATGGCGCCGTTGAGCTGGGATGTGACGATTCATTGGTGTGCTCAAGCGAAGGGGGGCTTCCAGCCTCAATAAGAATAATAAACAGTAGCATATAAATGCCTTCATTCTCATCAATTGGCCTCAAATGGCGTACAATGTTAAGTTAAGACCAATTTGTAACGAAAACCAAGCCTAACTTAGCAAGACTCCACGTAGTCCTTAATGGCCACTAGTCCATTGGCTTTCTGGCCAGAAAGTTAGCTATCCCCTAAAGCGACTGTTACAGAAGATGTAGAGATTAAAGCGAATAAGAATCATATGGGAACAAGAGAGAAATGCTATATAAGAATTTGAGAACAATCTCTCTGTAGGCCTCTGGTATAAAACCCGTACTTGATTGCTACTTGCGCTTCAGATTATTGACCATGTTTCCCAATAAATTCGGTACTAATTTCTCTAAGGTCATAATTTTGGTATCCGTATTGTGGCTGAATAAATTCTCTTAATCACTGTATTAACAATACCATCCAATTGTGAGTCCAAGGCTTATATGCTGATGCACAGTCAGTTCTAAAATTAAATGGTTCTTTTAGTATACATACATATATATCGTCGTTTAAAGTACAAAACCGCTTATAAACAAAATGCAAAACCGCGTATGTGAGGTTGCATAAATTGTTTTATAAAGATTAAAAACACTCATATTTCAAAATGGTTCTCTTTTTTATAAAGTAATCGCATTTTTGGCTAGTATATTTCAGGACGAATGGATGAGGACTGAGCCAAGGGCTTGTGTGAGAAAATCCAATTGTTGGCAACAAATGTCAGTTACGCGGTTTTGCACTTTAATGTGTCGCGCATTTCAGTCTAAGCTTTTTGCATGAAAAATTACAAAAACAATTTTTTAACAAGGTACCTAAGGCTTTATTTATATGAAAGTTGAAATTATTTTTTATCTACATACATATATACATACATATTTGAGTACTAGGTACTCGTATATGAAAAGGCGGAGTAGTTTGTCATCGAGATTCGTCCGCAGTTCCCTAAGTACCAGAATTATTTTGCGACCTCAACGGAAAAAAACTATCGTTCGTTGGAGTCTGAAAATGTTTCGGTTTTTGAAAATTATGTCGAGCTACATTTCTCTAATTTTATCACCGAATGCTTTCTAGTTAAAACTAAAGCTTCTAGAAGCTACATTCTGGCGTCCAAGGAACAGCAGTTTGATATAACGAAGACGCTGAAGACAGGCACAAATTCGTTCCAATATAGCTCAACTTCTCACCTTATCGAAAAAATCAACCTAAACACAAATTACAAATGCATAATCAGTGGGAATCTGTCATTCCGAAAGTAGTATATAAATGATATTCTTTGATCTATGGTCTCGCTTTCACTATGGCGAATATCTTCAGTTACGTGAAAACTCGTTATCATAAGCGAGAATCAGTAAACTATGTACATCATAAGACGGAGTGTTGTTACGATCGCATGCCTGGCAAGAGATGTGGGGACTTATAATTCGATGAAATACGTCATAATCAATTAAAACGGGGATTTTGGATTTTTACTTAGTTACGGCTTTTTGTATTTCAGCGACGATTTGTGATAGGGCCCTCCTATATTAAGGATATGTGGAAAAAATGTAGATATGCTTGAATGTTTGTACGTGGCAAATGAATGTTCATATGTTCAATTAATCATTCTTAAAAACAACGAATTTTCCAACGAAAACATAAAGAAACACTTACGAACATAAAACCAAAATTGCACCAAAAGGTAAGTAATACATTCATACAAACATAAAAAATGCTTAATAACATAAACTATGAGATGCATTTGTGTAAATATTTTAGTTACGTAAATTCTGTGACTGACTGCTTTGCAAAACATAAAGAAACAGGTAATTTTTAAATAAATAAATAATATCACCGATCAACAACAACACCTATATATAATTCTACACAGTGTTGTACATAGTGTTTGTGCAGAGTGAGTGAACAGTGCGGAGATGCAGAGGAAATGTGTTTTTATTTTTTTTTTTTTAATTCCAACACCATTTTAGAAACGGAAACCAATAACTTCAAAGAATTAAATGCACTCACCTCCTAAATTTTTGTTTTTTTTTCAGTTATTCGTAATTTAGTTTGTAATTTAGTTTCGTATATTTCAACGAAATTGCATTGCATTTTGTTTGTTTTTTTATTTTTCAACACATTGTATTCAACATACAGACATATATCCATAAAAATTCCATTGAGACGAAGAGGAGGAAGTTAAGTTGGTTGCATGTGGCATAACATTGTATTGGTTTGTATATATTTTTTTTTTGGTTTATGTTTTTTTTTTTTTGCATTTGCATTTCAACATAAATAAACATAGAAGAGTAAACAGAAAAGAAACGTTGTATTTATTTATTCACATAAATATTAAATGTATCAGAGATCAGCAAATTGTCTAAGCATATCAAAATCTTAAGCAAAAACACAAATACCAATTTTACCAATCACCAAATCCCCTAGAACCGCGAAATTGTTGCACGCAATCAATCTCGAAGGTTCAGCCTAGCAAGCTGTTACTCTCAAGACTTCGTACCTTTGGCGTAAGTAATTGAAAATATCCACACTCACCTTGGTCATTAGGTCTTTGGCTCTGGACTCGAAGAGATGCTCCAGCTTTTGTATGTCCACATTTGCCTGCGGCAACTCATCCCAAATGGTTTTGCCAATCACAACGGGTATCATATCCTCGCGCACCTCCTTCCAAAATAATTTCACCTGAACCAAAAAAAAAAAACGAAATAAAATTAAAATGCTGCTGAAGCAGTCAAATAGTCGTATAGTATAGCGTGTAGCACAAACCGTTTTTTTATTCTTCTTGATGGTATTCGTATTGCTGACGTCGCCATTCATGGAACCATTCATGGAGCTGTTGGCGCTGTTCGTCATGCTGCCGTAGCCGCTGTAGCTGAACATCGGCGGTGGCACCATGCTGGCCAGACTATTCATAGGTGGCATCATGGGCGGCGGTATGCCACCAGCGAATGGTGGTGGTGGCGGCGGTACACCACAGCCAAGACCACGCGGCGCTAGCATATCTTTCTCGTCTTCCGAATTCAAATCGGTGAAGTCTAGATCACAAAGATTGAGTGGGCGTATCATGTTGCGTACCAATTCCTCCCAGTGTAGCTCATTTTCGGATTTTTTCGGCTCCACCTTCTTGATGTCCTGATCCAGGCTGGACGAGCTGAAAAAAGGAAGCGAGCGAAAAGTGAGGGTCGATTTTGTTGGTAGTTCGTAACTTAGAAAATATTATAGTGCCTGGTACTAAATAGTTGTAGTAGTGTTGTGCTCTAAGAATAACACTGTAGGGAAAAGCTGAAGTTTTGAAATGGCACAAGAAACGCTGAAACACGCCAATTTAAGATTGGGTCGTAGACTGCGAATGTCTAAACCGTTCTCGTAGATCAGGTCATTTTCCCAAGATATTTCCATTTTTATTCCATGTTAAAGATCTGTCTGCAGTTACTTTACTTGATGGAATAAAATTTCTTTACCATTTCTTGGGCATAATTTTTTATGAATTTTTCGTTTTTCTAAAGCTGCAGACAAGGCGAATTTATATAAGGTGGTGTTGTTTCATCAGCTGTGAGTAGCGTTTGATTGTCAAAATTTTGAATTTCGTTAGTGAGTGAGTGAAAACGTGAGAGTGTTTGCATTTTCTGTCGCCCTTTTTCATTCGGGAAAGAATAGCTGAAATTTGACAATGGCCCGCTAAAAGCAAAAACAAAATACAAGTAATTGTTGTATTTGTTCAATCGATACCACCTTATATGTATTCGCCTTGGCTGCAGACAGCCCTTTAAGTTAGATTTTTTTCATTCAATCAATGCCTGCTTAAAATGAAAATATCTTGGGGAAATTACCTAATCTATTTAGGTAAATGGTGTACAGATCCGCATTTGTGCCTTTTTTTGTCGTTTTGGCGTCCGTAAACAATTTTAAAGGAAAACTTAGAAATATGTAATCACAAAACACACTACTGACACAGTTTGGTGATTTCCTCAACCCCTTCGCCACATTCAAATTCAACAAAAATAAGAAAACATTCCTAGGTCATGTTTTAATACTAAGACGTGGTATAAAATAAAGGCCTTTTTTCAGATTTGGCGCACCCTTTAACGCCTGTGTGATTTAACAGTTTCGCTTTTAATTTTGATAAGTGTAAAATAATAATATATGCTCGATAATAAAATTTATATACATACATATGCATCAATGATTTAAGTAAAAAGTGGAAAAGAAATTGTTAGATTAGCAATATGTAGATTATCGGGTGGGCAGGTGCGTGAAATAAATATATCGCTGCTGATATGAGCCTATCAATTAAAACATTGTTCATTGGCTTATCTTACCACACAGTCCACATATGTGCATACATACTTACGCACATATGCACATATGTGTATACATACTATCGTTTATAAAGGCATAAGAACATCCAACAGTCATAAAAGTTACCGGTTGTCTTGACGGTTATAGATTACAATATGTAATTGTAGATCTGAAGTGCCTTCTGAAAAAAATTAAATTATTACAAAAAAGTTAAAGGTTCGCAATAGAAAACGCTTTTGCATTGGCATATAAAATACCGAAGAAAGTGGCTTTGCAACAATTTATTTATAGCAGAGGAGCGAAGATTCCAAAACCACTTAAACACCATGGATGAAAGTTATACCAAATCGTATTTTTTCTTTTTCAAAATTAAAGTTTTTAATCTTCCGCAGTTTAACACCGCCTTCAAAAAAGCCAACGCTTTCACCAAGAAGTCAACCGTTGCTGAATTCCTTGAATTCTACAATTTTTTCAAGCAAGCTACTGTCGGCGATGTGAACCTTCCAGCCCACGGCGCTCTTGACCTGAAAGCCGGCCAAGGCCAAATTTTATGCATGGAACAAGGACAAGGGTCTATCTCAAGCGGACGCGAAGGCGGCCTACATTGCCGCCTATGAGAAATACGCCCCCAAATTAGAGCTGGAAAACTTTCGATAGTACTCCCACTCGATAGTTTCGATAGTTCAGGTTATACACCATCGATAGTATCGTTTCGCTATGAATGGGTAATTACGTTTAGAGTTGTAGTTTTATATGAACTTTTTTCGCTTTATTTACATACTTCCATACATGAAAAATAAACGAAAAAGCCTTTGCGGCAATAATTTTAAAATTAGAATGATAGAGTATTGGTAAAAGAGAGGAAACTCTCGATAGTCATAAAAACTATAGTAATAACCAGAAAACGACACTATCGATAGTTCCATCTATAGTTTTCCAGCTCTACACCAAATACGTTCAATGTAAATTCTTTTTATAACCGCCGTGATATGGATAATCTAGCTGAATGTAATAAATATGTACTGACTGAATGATATGGAAATCTAATCAATATATTTTATAAATTTGTAGGTAATTACAAGTGTATATGTAGTTCAAGTAGTTGCTGAGGGAATGTAAATTAATAAAAACCATTAAAGTCATTTTAGTGAAAAATTATTATTTCTTGTTTTAATTTAATATGGAAATTTATAGAAGGTAAAAAAATGTAATTGTTTAATTAAATCTCTAGTGAAACCGGCGTAAATTTTTCTTGATAGTCGTAGTTGTAAATGAAAATAAATGGAGGCAACGATACGCCGATACTCCAAGAAGGTTCGAAACTATAAACTTTTTGTAATATTGGGCCTTCGAGCTCTGGCGCTTCTGGAAATACTGCTCCCGCTAGAAGAAGAGCCAAAATTTTATAAAAATTTTTTAGTACGTCCTAAGCGGTACTGAAGGTCTAAAAATTCCATTCCATACAAATCTATCCACCCTAATGCTCATAAGTGTAGGTGTTCGCAATGTATCTATGCCAAATGTGTAAATATTATCTTAAATTACACGCCATTCCATTGTGACTGGTGGGAAATTTTGCTCCAGAATGTGATCAATTGTAAATCATAACACAACAGCAGCGAAAGATACTTTTCAAAATAGAACGATATCTTATGTAAAAAATTCCTTTAAAAAATATGCCAAACGATTTCTTAGCTCTATGTTACTATCATTTGGACAAATGCGACTGGTGAGACATTGAAAAGAATAGTGATGTGCTGAGTGAATACTTTTAAGTATTGATCGATATTCGGTACCGATTTAAAAATTACCCAATACTCTCGATACTTGGTACTGAAACATTTAGGTTTCGAATAAAAGCGCACATAGGCCAAAAATATGGAAAAAACGGTTCAGGGCAGACCCGCCTATCAAAACCCGAATGTAGTAGCCAATAGAGGTTTTAATACTGATTCAAATGAAAGATGTATATATGTCCGTTCGAGGCCATAATGCAGAGAAACTCTTACTTGTTTGAAGCATTTTTGTTCCAGCTGAATCGGACGATATCATTTTTGTAGGCCTGGGGGCAGATTCTGTAACCAGTTAGCGACAATTTTCGAATCGAAATGAAAGGCTTCTTCATCCGTCAAAGCATATATAATGGCGAAGGTTTAATGTAAAGAATCGGTATCGGGTACCGAAAAGGAAGTATTGGGTACCGAAATCTTTTTTAAGTATTGGGTTCCAAGAATTGGGTACCGACAATTCAACACATCACTAGAAAAGAACTCTATTTTACCTTTGTGCACTCAAAGATGAATTTTAACCAAAACACCTAATTTTCCATAATCTTCATAGAAATATTAAAAAATATTTAAAGTTGTGACTGGTGGGACAGGTCCTTGTGACTGATGTAAAGTAATTATGTATGAAGTAAAAGTTTGCAGAGACAAAAATAACAGATTCCCTTTTTTAATATTTTTTGACAGATTCATGAAATATTTTCGTTTTAAAAGAGGTTACTACTCAAATAGATATAATTAATGCATTTTAAAATTTCTGTCGTTTTGTTCTTAACATGGAATGGCACCTAAGCTTTCTTATGCACTTATCCTAACTTATACAAGTATTTTATCTTCGGCAACCCCCTGTGAAATTGTTTGTTTCAAATTTTCGTGGAACATTTTAAACCTCAAAGTGCCTTTTTAACGTCCTTTAATTTTAGCTGCTTTGAGAATGGGTTAAAAATGCCCTTTAAGGCGGAAGTAAGATGGTAAAAATCTACTACAAAAAAAATTCTACTGAAGAAGTCTAGTCGTTTTATACATAATATTTTCGATAAATTACGTAATTAAATTTCGGCCAAAATGTTAAAATATTAACGCCTCTTAAAAAGAGCTCAGACCCTCTGGGCTAGTACTAAATATATTCGGAAAAGTTGGTCTGGGAGACATCCTCTTTCATAATTATTAGCGTTTGTTGAGTAAACACTGTTGGACAGTGTTATCGAACATAACCATTCAATTAAGTAGGTATATTTTTAAGTGATTTACATATCCTTTCGAGAAATTCACTCATCGAGTTGAGCATATACTACTTATCCCCACAAATTCTTTTGCGAAATTTAAGTTCTTTCGTAGGGTCTACCGTAAGTCAATGAAGTACTTGTTCAGTTTCACGAGCCCACAAAAAAAAATTCATTACAGCAAAAATTAAAATTAATTTTCCAGGAAAAAAAGCACATAAACTAATACAAATCAAAAATTTGTATTGATTAACTGGAGTGATAGTTTAGTTCATTCAACGGTGAGAAGTATTCATATATTTTAATCAAGCATAAATATATATTTACTTTATTCCAACACTACTCAGGAAATCAGTGTATTTATATAGTAATGCTTTAAAGATAAGCATTTGGCCCAATGTAGATTTTAAAAGCTAATCCCTCATTCAGTATTTCTAAGCATAAATCAAAGTTGTATAATATACAATATACATAAACTTCACGTCAATAATAAATAAATATGCCAACTGTTTAGTAAACGCGATAAGATTTAGTTATAGTAGTACTATCGAAAAGCTAACTGCATACATTTCTCCTGGCATTCGAATATAAAAAGAGGGTTCCATTAATTTGTGCATTCAGTTCAGAGCTTACGACACTAAACAGCACATAATGGATGTAAGTGTTTGTTGGGGGATTAACTATTAAACTATTGATTAACAACCATTTAAAATCTTTCAACAGTTCCACACTGCCAGCGAAAAAGCCAAAGCTTTCACCAAGAAGCCAACCGATGCCGAATTCTTGGAATTCTACGGTTTGTACAAGCAAGCTACTGTCGGCGATGTGAACATTCCAGCTCCCGGCGCTCTGGACCTGAAGGCCAAGGCCAAATTTGATGCGTGGAGCAAGCACAAGGGTCTGTCGGCGGATGACGCGAAAGCGGCCTACATTGCTGTCTACCAGAAGTACGCGCCCAAATATGCTTGAGCGGGAAAATAAATTTGTTCAATGACATTGAACTATTGAGTGGACATAACAAATGCTTTTGTAATTCTTTATAGTGCGTGCAACGTGAAAATAAATTATTTTACCAGTTTAAATGGGTGTGTATTTTAATTAAACCTGATTAATTGCAGAATTGGTGTAATATGGAAAGTTTATAAGAAAACTTTAATCAAGCCATGTTTTTATCCCTAACATGATTTCGTTTGGAAGTTGAAAATCTTACTGTACAGTAGTATTTTTTAGTAGGATAACTATAAAAAATATAAAAGACTTTTGTAGAAACATTTGCGTAAAAACAGTTAATCCAGCTGAAGGAGTTCGGCAAATCCAACCAAAAGTAAAAAAAAACAGCGGCATTTGAAAGGATATACACTTACAAATATATT